TCCCTCACTGCTCGGTCAGCTGGTAGCCTGATTCATCCTGACACATTCTTTGCTCATTGAATAGAGGCCTGTATGGCCCAGGCCCCCAGAGCCACACGGACCCAAGTGGTCCCTTCTGTGCCACTGACTCATTTTTACAAGTTTTGGTAACTTCTAGCTCATACTCCCTTCTTCACTCTCTCTAGCAGTTTTCCTTTTTGAGAGTCATGGACCAGGAAAGCTCTGTGGAGTAGATCATAATTGCAGACCATGTATACGGCCGGGGGTGCAGACTAGGGAACAACCACTACATATTGTGAAATCTTTCAGTTTAAAGTCTTTAAATAAAGACCATCAGCCTGGTAGTATCCTGCCTTCTCAGACTTCTTCAGCCCAACGCCTAGTCCTGGTCCAGAGCCCTGTTGATGGCCTTTTCATATATACACAGTAGATGTTTTTGTTTGTTTATTTGTTTGTTTAAAAAAAAAGGCAGACAGAGGTCTAATCAAGGAAGATATCAATGGGCAAAAATTCCCAGAGTCTAATGTGGAAGTCTCGTTTCTGGGCCTCAGTGGTTCTCTTTCTCCCCAAACTGTTGATTACTTAGCTCCTGATAAAATTAGTCTTTTGTATTCCTGTGGTTCTAGAGAATGGTGGGACAGCAGGTAGATTGTATAAGACTGTGTCTTCTGTGGAGCTGATCTGTGAGTTGTTACCCAGTCAGGGGGTCGTAGTTAACACACATCAAAGATCCTGGCTCCCTGGTATGTCAGGGCCCTCAGGTGTGTGGCCTTACATCAGTAGCCAGGGCCTCCATCTAGTTCTTTGGACTCACGGACATCTTCATCTATTTTGGGTTACTTTTCTTTTTATTGGACGCTTTTTAGGAACTTAAAAGTATCTGAATGCTATACAGACATATCTCATTTTATTGTACTTTGCAGATACTACACTTTTTATGGATTGAAGGTTTGTGGCAACTCCTGCATTGTCAGATGATAGTTATCTTTTTTTTTAGCAATAAAACGTATTTAAATATATATATATATATTGTTTTTAAGACAATGCTATTGCACACTTAATAAATTACAGAAAAATATAAAAATAACTTTTATATGCACTGAGAAACCAAAAACAATGCCCGTGACTCACTTTGTACGTCATATTCACTTCATTGCAGTAGTCTGGAACCAAACCCACAACATCTCCGAGATACGCCTGTAATAACTCTAGAGTTGTATGCCATCCTAGGAATTAGACAGTGGGCAAGGTCGTGGAGTTTCGTTTAAGCCACAGATAGAAGCCAGTTTCAGACTAACTGGCAAAATAAAACTATAGCCAGAGAGGTTTCTTGGGTATACGAGAGTGGTGGCTATAGTGTTGGGGCCAGTAGTTCTGTGTTTGCTATCTGTCTGCCTTTCTCTGAAAAGGGTGTTTAAGTTGCTGGTGTCACTGCTCTTTCTCTTTGCTGGGAGGTGTGTCATTGAGGAGACATTGCCTACCTAGGAAAGAGGTACAATCTCAAGTTCATCCCCCCTTTTTTTTTTTTCTGCTGATGGACTGTGGTTTTGTCCAGTATTTTAGATTATAAAAGCTGCAGTGGATGTCTGCTAATTGAGGCCTCCCCCAGCATGCACACACCCCTTTATGTACAGATTGTTACCTTTCTTTGAGGGAGAGAATTTTTATTCAGGCTGAAGCTCTCCTGTGCCCTAGGAACAACTCCCCTGTTTGATGTGCTGATTTGATTGCCTAGATATTTCAGACACGTACTCTTTCCCTCTAGAATAGCAGGGGAGAGAGAAACAAGATCAATCCGTAGATATTTACTGCTGGATGCTGGGGAGACTGCAGAGCTGTTGACACAGTTTGGGTTCGTCTAAATCAGGCATCAGCCAACTCATGGGCCAAACCTGGCCTGCTACAGCCTCTTACTGTTCTGCCCAAGAGCTAAAACTGTCTCTACGTTTTTAAATGGTTGGGGAAAAAAATACTTTGTGATGTGTGAAAGCGATGTGAAATTCAAACTTCAGGGCCCGCAAATAAAGTTTTATTGGAAGGCAGCCACGCTCGCTCAGTTAAATGTTGTCTGTGGCTGCTTTTGCACCGAGGTTTCAGGGCTGAGGACTAGAACAGAGACCGAATGGCCGGCAGAAGCCTGAGGTAGTTACCCTTTGGCTCTTTATAGAAAAGTTTGCTGACTTAGGTCCATGCCTATGACAATTTTGATGAAATTGTGAAGTTTGAGTGATTTGGGTTGATGGCTTTTAAAAAGCTGCAAGGCTACACATGATTAATTAACAAATGAACCATGGGTGCTGGGAGCCATTCAGGTAAGGCTTCAGGGAGAGGCTGGTTTGGGCTGGCTGGCCGGCCATCTCCCTCCCAGACGGATGTTTTGGTCTGTCGCTCTGCCGCATTGTCAGTTAGCTAAAAGATCTGATAAAAAAAGGAAATTAGGAAAGAATGAGGAAAATTTTGGAATCATTTACTGGAAGTACAAAGATACAGACTTTTTCACTTTTGCCCATTAAGTGTTTTTAATGTAACTTTTGAGAATCTGTAATCTGATTGTTACTATGGGATATTGTTGGTGTACACTGTGTGGTTGACGTGGTGTGTGTATTGGATTGTTGTAGACTCTGTGCATATAAGACCTAAAATGGAGATCTCGTTAAAATATGTGTTAGATTTTTGATTCTTAAGCTTTGGGCTACACATATAAGCAAATACTACACAAACATTTCTCATGAGGTACTTACTGGAGGGTTCCAGTATGAACCATATCTATAAGCATGGTTGTCCTGAGAGATTTTAACATCCTTTCCCCGCCCCCTACCACAGGGATTGCATCATTAGAGTTTCCTAGAAACAGTGGGACTAAGAACCCTTTCTGTTACCTAGTCTGATAATTCAGCCCATGTGGCTCCTTGGGTA